GGTTGTCGAAAAGCAAGAAAGATACCTTTTGCGTAAATTACGTCGATGGGAATAGAACACGTCATCAAGTTGTGGGGATTTGATTGGACGTTGGGTCCAGTCTTGGACATGTTTGGTGATTGGTGAATGGGGGTGCGGAGGGGATCGGTGCGATACGATTCACCAGTCTTGGAAGAATGGTGAATGGTGATTCGTGTTACGGTTGGGGTCGGCTTAAAATGAATACACTGTACATGTACCGGTATCAGCAGCTCTACCGTACTAGTGCAGGGGTAGCGGTACACAGGATGGTACGCACAGATCGGTGACACTTCAACTATAAAAATCTTCCTCTCTTCCGGTCTGACGCCAAAAGCCGGGTCTTTCGTATCCGACCGGAAACAATCCAAACAAAAGGAACCGAAGCATGGAAAGAACCAGTTTTCTTTGGAGTGACAGCAGAGGTGTCATGCCATACCGGTAAAACAAAACAACATCCGAACTGAAGAGCTCTCGAGAAGTACAAGGCTGAGGATTGCATTTTAATATTCAACTTGCGTCAACTTTGTGTTGTTGGTGGCTACCGTACATCAAAATGCTTGGCTCCTTGCAATTTTTGGTGGCTGGCAGCGCGAAGACCACCCATCGCCACAGCAATTCCAATTGCCATCGACATACATCATGACCAACCCAAAGAGGGACACTCGCAAAAAGCGAATGAATTCGAAACGAAAATGCTGGGTTGGATTATAGCTACTTTTGCTTGTTGGTCGTCCGAGTATTCTTGGATCTTCCCACCTCACAAGAAAAATCATTCGAATCTCATCTATGCATACGGTTACCAAGTACGGTAATATCGATGTATCGTTAGAGGCCACATCATTTGTTGTCATAGCTGACTTGGTTGGCTCATGCGAGGCTCTCACATGTTGAGCTTCAAGGTGTGGAGTGCAAAACACTGGCGATATGATGCCATCACAGAACGCCGTGCCACAATCTGTGACGCTTTTGCACTTCACCGATATCACCGAAAGATTGACTCGCCCGCTACAAGACGTGTACTGTTTACGTCTATGTACCAAAACGCTATTTCCTGCACCTCCCAGGTAATAACGATATGCAGACGACTGACTCGTGCATAGTTGGTGGCAGTTGTGCTACATGGTAGCCAGATAGCTAGCTAGTGGTAGGGGTGTTACTTTACCGCTACCGTAACAGGTATGAGTACTAGTATTGGTACAAGCACATCAGCAGACCCAAGGACTCGACGCGTCACTGAATTATTAGCTATACAGAGTCGCGAGAGCGATGCAGATACCAAAAGGAAAAAGGGCGTCGCATGGTGGATAAATTTCTGCTGCAATGCATCTAGCTAGATAGACGGGTCTTCTTATGAAAATGACAAAGACAGCAGTGTTGGGTGCGATAAACTAACTAACTGCAGTCGGAACAGCGCGTCGCATGAGAGCAAGTAAGTAAACTAGTACATGTTGTAAGACTGCGCGTGCAGGTGTGCGAACATGCCCGGGAGGGAGGGGGGGCATGCCCACTACCCATCCTCCCTTTCTGTTTTATAAAAAAAGTCTATTCCAACATGCAACGATTGCTGTGCCGCAACTTCCACATGTGAATTGGCCCATTCCGTCCTTGGCCGTCCGTGGTCTAGCTAGCTAGCTCAAGCTGGATGGTGCATGCACGCACGGTAGCCAAGGCAGTCTCATCATCTATCTTGCTTCTTGGCTACCGTACTAGACACACGCTGCTTCATCTTCCCAGTCGTAGCAGTACCCATTGTCAAAAAAGGAATCTTCGTATGCTTGTTCTAGAATCCCCGCATCGTCCAAAGAACAACGCTCTACAAATTCGTCCAATTCATGAGGTTGCAATTGTAACAAGAGTTCCACTTGCTTGGTGAGTTCTTGTACGCGTGATGTGCCCGACTCCCATATTCGTTTGGTGCCGCGGTAAAGTTGGAGGGTCGGAACGGCTTCAATTTGAAGGGCATCCATGACATGCGCCGTCACATCGGAATATTCCATTTCGGCACACCGAATGGGGCCATCGACGGCACGGCGTGCCACGACGCCATCGCCATAGTCGTACGCTAGTTTCTTGTAGTGTAAGCCGACGCGTTGGCATTTTTTGCACCATGGAGCGTAGTATCTAGTAAAAAGAAGAAAGACAAGACAAGTAGTAGGTTAGAAGAGAGAACAAACAAAGATTCTTCATGACTGTCATGACTGACTTGTCACTTACTTGACTGCGGTAAGTCGCTGATCTTCGTTTAGAAAGTCGTATAGCTCTTGCAGAGTGGAGAGGGGATAGATGGTCGGTTTCTTGATGGGAGCGGAAGGAGAGACGACCGTTGCGGGTGCTGTTACTACGTGTTGTTGTACAGCCGAGTCTTCGTTTTGATAAAAGATTCTCGTTCTGCTCAGAGAAGCAGTCTCTGTGGAGACGACTGTGTTCGTAAAGCCATTGGTGCTTGTCAGTACTAGTGCAAGCAGCAGCAGCAGGAGGAGATTCATGGTCATCATTGTTGTTGACTATTCCAAAAGTTGGCGGTTGAGTTTCTATTTGTTCTTTTTCGGTTTGTGTCTTCTATTCTTCTATTCCATCATACAAAGAACAAGCTATCTATAGCCTGTGCGCAGCCGAGTTGCTACACTTGATTTGCTTGGTTTGATAGCTGGTTTGATGTTGATGGCTAGAGTACTTGCTTCTTGTTGTGTGTATGAACCAATCAATCAATCAATCATAATCAGTCCTTGGAACACATCAACAAGTTTTTGATTGGACTTTTGATTGCGTTCGTTTTCTTCTTTGCTTGCTTGTGATGGGTTGTGTCGCTGATGATGTGCACGTGATGATCCTTGCTTGCATGGCTTGATGTCTCTTTTGTCAGATGCCCTTCTCGATGGCGGCATTTTAGACAATTCCTATTCGCTCACATTCGAGTGAGTCGAGTCGAACCCCAAAAACCCTGCAAGACACGTGTAGACACCAGTAGACGGAGTACCAATCAATTCCACATCAATTATTCAACGCTCGAGCGCTCCTTGATCGGTCGGCGAAGCCTTCACATTGAGGGTACCGGTGTCGTAACCAGTAAAGCTGTGAGGACATTCACTCATGCTGTTTGGTTGATTTGAGACGTGCACCTCGTCGAAAGTCTTCTTGCTTCTTTTGCTCTCTCTTTTGCCAAAAGAGAGCAGGAGCAGCTGAATGTGCCCACACAAAAACTCACAACCTCCCATAAAAAGAGAAAATAAATAATGCAGAACAACAATAAGAGTAGCCAAGAAAAGAATAACAACAACAACAACAGCAACAACAACAATGACCCTCTCATCAGCAAGAACAACGAGCTTCAATCGACAGCGCCGCGTCGTTCCGGCGATGGGCATGGTGGTGTAGTTCCAGGAGATGTTCACGGGTTGAATCATCTCAACAATCGTGGACGACCCCACACAAATCCCCCTTTTAGCGGTGACTTTTCGGGGGATCTGGATCCCTATCATCCTCTTGGTGGGGTTCGTCCCGCGGGGAATCTCATGGGCCCTGGTCACCCCCTGTTCTCGGATGGTGATCATCATTATTTGGCAGTGAACAACAATAACAATAACCCCAATGACGACTACCGATCCGGATTTGGCATGCGGCCTCGGTTCGATCCCTTTGGCCCTCCGGGTGGTCCCCAGCAAGTGGCGCCTCCTCCGGGGCGTGGTGACAATAATAATAACAATGATGGTCGTGGACGTCATTGTCCTGGAGAACCCAATCCAGACCATCTGGCACCTCCGGATGATCTAAGGAACAACGACTTTTCCTACTAAAGCAAGCCACGTCGATCCATGAGTGGAACTGGCCATGTCTTGATTAATTACGAGCTATGCAAGGGTTTTAGAATGAGCGATACTATAATATACTATATCTAAGCAACCCCCTACTAGTATGATAGCTGGATGCATGATGTTGCCAAGAAGCCCCTGTCTGTAATCGTCTTACTTTAGAGCGCGACTCGAATCGGAAATGATGTTTACCGTGCCGGTGTGGTGGTGTGTATAAGCAATTGATACCCTGTGACTTTGCCATGAGCAATGAGTAGTGAAGCTCCTGGTTGCTGTATATCGGATCTGCTTCCGACCGCCACCCGAAGAGGTGTACGACTGTACTACCAGTACATACATGTAATAGAAATTTGCCAGCCCACGCCCACCATTTCGCACATTCTGCGACTTGTAAGACCCCAACGGGACTGACAAAAAGGGACTCGCCAACAGAAAACATCGCAGCAGCCGTCTGAGCGAGTTCCGCTATCCTACCACCACGATTATCCTATCGCATTGCTTGCGCACTTGCTTGCTTGCCTTGCGTTCCTGCATCCTGTCCTCCCCTCTCTGTCCCCATCCTCATCTTAGCTCTCTCTAACCCATACGGTAGTAACTTTCCATGTCATTCGGCGTGGAGACACTTCTTTTGCCATGCAGTTGAACGTTCATTGGTTGCAGCAGCGTCCAGATGGGGGAATGGACACTCTGAGAGAGGAAGAGGCGAATATCAACGAAGGCTCTCTCGCACTCCACCTGTTAGTCGAATTGAGAAGTGGGCAAGTTCCTGTTTACTCCAAATCGGAGGACAGCAGCCCATGGGAGCTGGTGGAAGAAACGGCCATTCTCTCAGTCGACCTTCAATATGGCGTGCACTACAAGACTCCGTCCGATAACAAGAGGCTGAAAATGGAGCAAGGACAAATGGAGCCAGCCCCAGCCCCCTCTCCTGCATGGGAAAGTCTTGGATGATTGCCAGGGCGAAAATGTCCTGGAGCTTGCTATGAAAGCTTATTCTCCAACACTCGATAAAATGGCGCCACCACAAGGACTCTTTGCACCGGCAGATAAGAAGCTGCTGCGATTTGCCAAGAAGGAGCTTCCATTCACTGGACAAGCGATCTTGGACTTGGCACATGACAACGACTTTTTTGCAGCAAGTTCGAGGAGGTATGCAAACTTTGTAAACCTGAGGGCGGTCATGCGATGGAGCCACTCCTTGCTGCAGAGCTGAGGTATTGGTGCACGCAGCAAAAAGACCCTACCGTACAAACTTTTCTTGAAGCGCTCTTCTCAAAAGAAGAGTTCAAGAGGCAGTTGGAAAAAAAGCAGAAAAGCTGGGCAAAGGAGGCGAAATTCAATATCAAGGGAGCTTTCACAAGAGACTGCTTTGTTGGCAAGAGTATTCGAAACGACGTTGATTTTGTCAGCAAAGCTGTCAGTGATCAATCTTTGTAGAATTTTCTGCTTTCTCCTAGCACCGTGAAGCGCCCTGACTTTGAGGCCGTCATGAGTGGAAACAGCCTCTGGTTTCTTATAGTGCAAGCTCAAAGCTGTATTCAAACACATATGATGATACCGACGAAAGCGATTTGCGATCCACAGCGCCCCAAATGTTCTGCACGGGGGAAAATGGCGAAGAGAACGGGAACTGCAAGCTTTTGCACGCTGCGTGGACTACACTGCGAAGTGAGAACTCAAGCTTGTTCAGCAATTGCCTGCGCATCCACTTTTGCTTACCGGATGTCAAGCGGTTGGACGGCAACCCAGACCGGCTGTTTGTCGATTCGGATGGCTCCGTCGTTGCGTACATTACATTTGACAACATTGGCAAGATATTTCGACGTCACACTGTTGACATCTTGAAGGGGCTAAAGGGAGTGTAAAGAAGCATGCAAACAATCGAGACCCGGCTGCGGACACCACTGAGAAATCTGGCAGAATACTGGGCATCATGCCAGAAATGTTTGACCTTGGCGACATTGGCGAGATTGAATTCAATGGCAAACTATCATTTCGATCGAATCTGCATGCTTCCGACCGCCACCGGCCGAGAGGACTGCTGAGGTGTAGAGGAAGACCTACCGCTGCCAAGCTACCTCGTCCTCTTCTTTGCAACCTAAACTCAGTGCTTTTGTGTGTTCGTTCGGTGCCCTTTTCTGCAGCATTCCACTCGTGGCATGGTGAGTGCAGCAAAGCTGAAGCAATGAGTGTGATAGTCTTGCTTTTAAGAAGGCGTCAGCATGCGCAAACCTACCGTACCCCTTGCTAACATCACCTTGCCGCTCCATGACGATGGTGGTTTTGACTTCTTTGCTGTTGTCGTTGTTGTCGTCGTCGTCGTTGTTGTCGTCGTCGTTGTTGCTCTGGTAGCAAACAGCCAGTCGGCCGTGGAAGCAAAGAGCTCAATGATAGTTCAACAAATGCCTGTGTGCGGAAGACCAGGAGATCAAAGTAAAACCATGCCAGCAACAGACACATCTTTCCCGTTGTCAAACTAGAGCGCATGGCACTCCAGCAAGCAACTGCTTGGCAGATCAGATGTTGAATAGAATAGCGTAGCTAATAGCTTTAATTCTTGTTGCTTCTTGTACTGGTACGCCGAACAGAGCGGCTTCCGTCCCCGGCCTTCAGGCGTTTCAAGATATCACCACTGGTCATGGCACGGCTTGATAGCTGCTGCACCAGTTCATGGAAGCTTTGATCGTACCAATGCCTCTCCTTACTTCCACCAAAGTTGCACTCCAAGAAAAAGGCAGCCTCTGCGCGAACAGCTGTCTCGATGGAGTCAAAGAGGACAGCTCGGAGCTTCCGGTTTCCACTTTGGTATACTTCTGTCTGTAGTGAGTGCTGCTCCAACTGTTCACGAAATCGTTGCGGAACACATTCCAATGCCTTGCCCGTCAACCATGGTCGAGAGTACCTGAGCCAGCCTGCCAATCCCCTGGTGCTACGGCCCTTCAAAGGAAGAGCCCTTGCTATGAAGACAGCTTGATACCAGTCTTTCCCATCTTGATCCAAGTAACGAAACACAGTCCACTGATCCCTGCTGAACTTCAACTCACCAAACCTCTGGGATGCCGCAATCAAGTCAGCGTGATGGCTGGATTCTGGCTGCAAAAAGGCATCGTACATCAGCCCAGCAAAATATTGTTTCACGCACATTGCCATGATATTGGTTGAATGAAGCTTGTTGTTATCTGGTAGGCAATCTGTCCCGAAGTCAGTAGCAAACATGCTCCCAGAAATTGCGACTAGTTCGGGGAGGAACTCCAGTACTTCCTCACCGCGCAGGGCCTTGTCTTCCTTCTTTTCCTCCTCCACCTCGTCCTCCGCATCCTCAAATTGGGATTGGGATTCGTTTTGAAGATTCTGCGAGATCGAAGTGACTGCTAGCAAGTGTTCTGCCAGCCCAATCGCAACGTTGGAGCTCGATTCAGATGCTGCAGATTCCATCCTGCTGTAAGACTCTACTGGATGCTGTAGCCCTGCCAACACCATGTCTCTTTGTTTCCTTTCGCTTTCAGTCATGGGAATAAATGGATCAGACTTCAAGTTGGGCCAGACTTCCATTTCGTATCCATCAACGCCATCAAAGATGGCACACAACTGGCTAACCTTGTCTGGAAAACAGATAAGCTGTTCTCCTAGATTGGTGCACGAGCGACTGAAATCGATTGCCATCCGCACTCTGGATTCCCAATCAATCGGGGAAGGTACATCTTCTGCATCCGGCTTGGCCTCCCTCTGCATTCCCCACGCGACAAAGTCCGCGATGATATCGTCAAGATCATCATTGTCTGCCTCAGGAAACTCCAAACCATCCGGAGCGATACCAAAAGTCAACAAAGATAGGAGGAGGAAGAACCCACCTGGCGGCAAGAGCGTGAGGTGTTCTGCACGCATGCCTCCACCGCGCAGGTCAAGTGTATTGGCACAGCATGCATACAGCGTCCCAATGGACCCGACAGGAACAACTGAAGAGGGAACTGAGTTTTCTGAAACGAAAACTGAGCGATCGGTCCCAATCTTTGTCCAACGTGCCTGCATCTTTCCCCATCCATTGTCCAAGCCAAACGTCATACATTCTTCCTCCTCAGCATCGTCAGTTTGAAGGGGAACATGAATTGTCGGATCTCTTCTTCTGGAAGCAGCTAGCACAGCTAAAAGCCGAGCACCCTCTGGAGCATTGCGTAGAAGCGGTTGTTTCAGGCTTGAACACGATTCGGCTTGGTTCATGCGTCCAGGACTGCTTGGAGTGCTCGGTGAAGCCGTCGTCTTCGGGTCGTCGGCGGGCGCGAAAACAATGTATTGGTAGCCGCCATCGTGCTTATCCAACAATCGATAGTTTCCATCCAAACGGGCAATGGCAAGCAAGTCGCACAGTTCAATATCCGTAATCCTGAAGGCATCTGTTCCACAGCAAAAGATTTGAAACACAGCATTGCGCCTGTTCTTTTTCGTGTTCTTTGAAAAGTCAAACGAGAGCCCCCCTTTAACGCTGACATTTTTCCGAAGGTGAATCTTAATGCTGTTGTTGATTCCGTATCCCGATCTTGCGCCGCGCAAAGCAAACTTTTTGACTTGGACGAACTTGGAGGATGCGTCAACGGCTCCTTCAAGTGCCTTAGGCTCATCCACTATGAACCATCTACCAGCATCGCGCTCTTGGCGTCCACGGCGGCTTCTGGCAGGGGTCTCAACACAAAAAAGCACAGTTTCTTCCATAGCATTGCCCCATTGTTCCCGAAGAAACTGGAAGTCTTCAGATTCGTAGAAATCTGAGCAAACATATAGTTGTAGTCCTTCTTCATACCAGAACCAAGCAAGGTCTAGGCCCCTTTGGATGGAAAAAGACACCAGTCTCACTTCAAAGCCAACGAGAAACGTCCCAAGGTCAAAACTTTCATTCTCAGGACAACTAAAGCCTCCAGTTTGCTCCACTTCGGCATGCGTCTTCAAGGCAAACGGATGCCTGTCGCTCCGAAGCAACGTCCAAAGGTGAGATTCCTCAAGACCTTTGCTCGCCTTGAGCTTCAGAGACAATGAATCGTCAGGATTGGCCTTGATTGATAGCGGATTGTATTCAATTATTGTGTCGTGAAACACCCAAACATGGATCAAGCGAAGAAGGGTCAATTTCGAGTGGTGCGTCCTCGAAAGCGGTTCGCAAAGTTTCAAGAGGCTCGCGTCTACTTTGACAAAGTCCGCCACCCGCGAGACAAGATTCTTGCGCGTCGAAATCAGGCGTTTGATCCTGGTGTTATGGATGCCATGGTAGTTGCAAAAGGCAGAGAGCTTGCTGCCGTGCAGGCGAGAGTACTCGTGTATCAGATTCATGGCCCCTGCCAACCGCAGTTTGGACAGATGTGAGATAGGACGGTTTTCAAAGTTGAGAGGGCGGAAGAAGTTCAAGAAAGGAAGACTTACCCATGGCATCGGAGAAGATGGAAGAGTCAAACTGATTCTCTGTAATGGAAAGAGCTCAAGGTCAGTGTGGAAACTTGCTGAACTAGCGTATACATGTACAACAGACAGGTGACTGATACTCACTCGAACAATAGGCCTTTACAGTCCCAGCTGCCGATTCGAGATGATTACAGCAAAAGTCAGAGAGCGCTCCATGTGTCAAGCGATTTGATCGAGCATTGGCCTTCTCCTCTTACCATTGAAGGTTTTCGGCTTGTGCACGAGCGAGCTGCTAACGAGCCATGGCGTCTTTGGAAAGGACAAGACAGCTGCCAAGTCAATCGCCTCTGGGCCGACACCGAACTGAATTCCTATTGGACACAACAGTACAATCTCAGCACAGTTCCAGCGGTAGGGGAGGTGGGCACCACTACTATGCAGTCAACTCACCTAGACCAATCAAAGCGCCTAGGGTAAGGTCAATCCCAATGGCCGAGACAAAGGCTCCAAGATGAGTAATCTCGCCGTAGTCGTGAGGCTGGGTAATAAAGTTGGCCTTGTACAGGCTTTGGTACGACCGTTCAATTGTCGACTGCACAGGTGCATGATGAGTGCGATGGGTTTTTGGCAGCAAAGCCAGTAAAAGCGCACGAACGTACCAGATCCGGAGGTTCGAGGCATTCCAGAAGGGCAGGTGTAGTCTCTTCGCCATTCAAGATCTCCTTGAGTTGGAGGATGACTGCATCCAAAGGCATCCTAAGCATTTCCCCTGTTGGGTGTTGTGGTAGGTCAAAGAGTATCGTTGAGACGTGACATTGATTCATGTCATATTGAAATGCTCCAACTCCATCACAACTTACCAGATTCAAATTGTTTCATCAACGTTTCATACGCCTCTTTCGTGTAGAGCCGATACTGCAACGGACGCTTGTGAGAGAACGAATAAAACAAGTGACAAATCAAAAGGGAGAAGCAACTCACCACTGTGCCTGGACGAACCCTTCCCACCCGACCACTTGAGAGGAGGAGAATGGACAAAACACATGCATGAGAACAAATGTCAAGATTTTGAGTCGCGCGAATGGTACGGTATCGAAACTCGTTCACGCACCTTCGCTGCTGAGCACTCGCTCTAATTGGACAATGCGGTAGGGAAAGCAACTGTTAGAAAACGGAAGAGAGCGATCCGAGCTGTACGTTTTCCTTTCGCGGGTGACAACTCAGCTCAGCTCAGCTCGTACCTGGAGATCCATGTTGGTGACAGCATCTGACGATGACTGGATGCATTGTACGTAATTTGCTTTTGGAGTCCCGTGCAGCTGCAGGAACCATGGCAATGATATATAGGTTAGAGAATGCAACATGGATGGGCGAGCGTGCACAAACAACCTTCATTTTGTAGTAAACATAACACTCACATGACATGATCACAGTCTGGCAGAGTAATGGAAGATTCTGCCGCATTCGTCGCCACAATGATTTTGACTTCATTCGTCTCCTCAAAGACGGCCATTTGATCCTCAAAGGGAATATCGCCGTGGACTGGAATACACGTGTATGTGACACCCGGCACATACATTTTTTCAATCATTTCCGAAATACTCTCAATGTCTCTCATGCCCGGTACAAAAATCAACACGGACGATCCTGGCTGGCCCAGTGTAATGGCAAGCCGTGCGGCAATCGTGTACAGACACTCCATGGTCGATGCCGATGGCGGAGCGACACACTGTGTTTTTTGGCACTCGGCGGCAATTTGTTTAATGGCCTTGACTTCTTTCGAGGGTAATCGAATCTTTTTGGGAATATCTTCGACAAAGACTTCTTCAATGGGAAATCGTCTGGCACCGACTTGAATGGTGGGTTCGGATATTCCAAAGTACTCTTGATACAAACTCGCCGCCAATGTGGCCGACATGAGTACGAGTCGAATGCGTGGATGAGTCTCAATGAGTCGTCGACACAAGAGACATAAAATATCGGTATCGACGGATCGTTCGTGAATCTCATCAATAATCAAATGCGAGACATTGCGAAATCGCTCGGGATGATTGGAAAGTAACCTGACGAGGTATCCCGTCGTGACAAACCACGCTCGTGTCTGACTGGTTTCATATTCCCTCACACCGTGTCCCATGCGCAACGCAATGCGTTGTCCCCAATACGATTCCGTAGCCCTTAAACGTTCCACCAATGATTTGGCCGCCAATCGTCGTGGTTGGGATATAAACAATTGACAATTCTCGCCAAGCGCTTGACAGGCATTTAAAATCATAATGGGAACTCGTGATGACTTTCCACATCCCGTTTCTCCTTGAATGATAGTGACTCGATTTTGTTGAATTTGTTGCATAATATTGGCTTCGTGTTCGTCAATGGGCAGTACGACGGGTTCTTGTGTTTGTTGTTGTTGCTGTTTTTTGGTAGAAGTAGTAGTTTGTGGTGGAATGGGTGGAATGGGTGGAAGAGTATTTTGGATAGCGGTTGTGGTTGGATTTCGTCGTTTGTAAAGTGCTCTATGCCACTTGTAAGCATCGAATACTTTGGCCGGTGGATTGAGTCTGACAACAGGCGATTGTGCCGACTTTTTGGAGACATAGGCAATACAAGATTCAATGACAAAACAAGCTTGCATATCCTCCCAAAGAGGTCTCCAGGGTGTATTGTCGTTTTCGTTGTTGGTGTAGAGTGCCAGCAATTTCATGGCTTCCAAGTGTTCTTGTCGAATGAAAGTAGAAGTCTGTTGATTGAGATATGCCTGAAGACAACGTAGTACAGCTCCCACCAAAGACAAATCATTGGGTTGTATGAGAGCCAAATGACTGGGGAAATCGTCGGGAATGGAGGGCGCTGATATTGTGTCCTCATCGTCGTCGCCATGATCTTGACTGCTGCTGGCAGAAGTGTTGCTGTTGGCATGATGATAATCTCTAGGATTGACGAGAGGAGACTGTTGATTTAAGTCTTGCAGATTGTAAACTGCCCTGGCAAACGCCATGGCTTGTTCGGTTTCTTGTCCCGACAATGCCTTGACTCGATATCCTTTTCCTTGTGCCCGTAAATGATGGAGTAGATCTTTGGTCCAGGGACTTTCAAAGTCCAACTTGTCCACTCTCTTATTGTGTTTACTGTGTTGACTTTGATTGTTGTGTTGTTGGTGCTGTTGTGAAGAATTGTAGGGATGAACGTAATCATTTCCCATGAGAATGGCGAGTTCTACCAACGCAGCTTGATCGGGCAAATGAAGTGACTGCGCCAGTGCCTGTCGTGTAATGACAGCGGCTGTAACGACAGACGCATCGGCATGCAGTGTTTGTAGCGGAATATACTGCAGATTGGGAAAGAAACAAAAATCCGTGTCATTTCCCACGACATAGGAATTGGGAATTTTGTGTGCTTGATGCGCCAATTCCGCATCGGCTTCTTCCTGACAGTGCTGAACTTGTACTTGACAGACATGCAGTGTGTATTTGATTTGTGTGAGAAACAGTCGATGTTTGGGAAACTGGGTAAACCATTGACACGTCGTCTGGACCAACGGCATTTGTCCGTAATTGCAGTACTGTTCTAGGGCAAGCCATTCATCCGAGTGTCGCGAATGTCGTTGGACATCCGTATGTCGTTTGGCATCTCGTCGTAATTCGCCGTCGAAATACACAATGAGTTTCATGTGATGTTTCTTTTGCAAAGTCTCGACAAATTCGCGCGTCACTTCATCCAATAGCGTCAATGGCAAGAAATTGGGCAGCAGCGGTGTGACTTGATGTGGCTGTACGTGTTTGACAGACGCACATCCACATCCACAGACTTGTTGCATGCGTCGCGCATATGCCACACGGTACAAATGAAACGCCAAACCGGCGCCATCAATGAGCAGCGTGGAACGACGCTGGACCATGCTCACGCGACTGGCAAATTTGGGACAATCCACCATGACATTGGCGGGTCGCCATAGAGAGACAGAGCAACAAGAAGTCTCTTCCGGAAGCCATCCTTCGTCTTGCAGTACGCGTTGGAATCTCTTGACGCCCATTGTATGTAGGCTTGTTACTACAGTATTGCAAGTAAGTGGAAGGAATGAGAATGAGAAAATGAAGGATCACGAAAATTTCAAGACGGGCGTGTGAAGATTGTGAGATTGACAGTGGAGAAGAATGATCTTCAGTCGTCACCGTGGAACCTAAAGAGTCTTTACTGGTACGGTAGGGTTGGTGTTACGCAGAGACCCATCCTGGTACTTGTGTGTGTGAAAGATCGAGCGGCTGGCATCAATCGTCATCAGATCGTCCAAAATGACACAATGACTGGATAATAATGACTGTCATCACCAGTCATCTCATTTTTTTCTTTATCAACCAACCAACCCACATCAAATTTTCTCTGGAGGCACAGCACCATACCGGTACAGCAGTAACATACTATCGTACTCTCCATGGAGATGCAGCAACCAAGATAAGGAGCTAGCCCTGACTATATTAAAAGAAGAAGAAGACTACAATTGTCACCACCAGATCTACCGATATCAAGAATGGGCCCCTCCAATAAACCAGAGAGTGCTTCGGTGGATTCCGACGGCAGTGCCAAGTATGTGACTCGTCGGTTGATCCTATTTGCTACCATTGCCATTGTGGGAATTGGACTTGCTGTCACAGGAGTGCTTTGTGCCACGGGAGTTTGTTCTCCCTCCAATAATAATGACAACCAACCACTCATGTTCACGAATGCTCCTACGACTCCCAGACCCACTTTTGCACCCACCAATTCCACGCAGCCATCGTTTGCTCCTTCCAGACTACCATCCACATCACCGTCCATGCTGCCGTCCACACTACCATCTTCAAGTCCAACAGATCTCCCTTCCATTGGTCCTTCGGAGGAACCTTCCTACACACCTTCCATATCTCCCTCCAAGGCACCCACACAATCGCCATCCATTAGTCCTTCCACACATCCATCCATTACACCCTCTGAACAACCTTCCGATCCACCTTCCATTACTCCCTCATTACATCCCTCAGCTGCGCCTTCCATAAATCCAACTCGATGGCCCACCACACAACCGTCCACTTCTCCGTCCATGCCACCCACACTCGCTCCCACTCCAAATCCATCCTCGTTTCCATCCATATCCCCCACTCCGGCACCCACATTTGCACCGTCCCCCGTTCCCACCACCACACCACCCACCCAACGACCCCTCGTGAGTATTACCATTCCAAGACCGACACCCAATCCCACTCGGGCACCCATCACTTTGCCAGCATTTGGAAGTACCTATAACAGTGACACGACCACACAACTCAATCTGGCCAATCAAGGATTGGCAGGTACCATTCCTACCGAAATTGCGTACTTGTCGAAACTTTCGCAATTGTGGTTGCATTTGAATCAATTGACGGGAACATTGCCCAGTGAACTGGGGGCATTGACCGCCCTGACATGGCTGTCACTCAGTCAAAATCAATTCACCGGGCCACTGCCAAGTACATTGGGAGCCTTGACGGGATTGACGGTCCTCAGTGTAAGGGACAATCAATTGAGTGGGATGGTGCCGTCGGAACTGGGCGATTTGACCGCCTTGACGGGACTGTATTTGTACAACAATCAATTGTCGGGACAAGTGCCCGCTGCGCTGTGTGAGCAAGCGACGGATTTGTTATTTGTGCGGGTGGATTGCGATCCGGATCCATTTCCTATTGACTGCAATTGTGATAACAATGATGCTTGTGTGTGTTTTTGAACACAAGCAAACAAGAAACAAACAACAAAACAAGGAAGGAGACGAATTCTTTCGAGAAGAAATACGAGTAGAAAAACGAGACAACCGGCCAACACAAACAGAGATCATTTCGGGTTGGCAAGAGAAGAATTGCCCAGCGATGAAACAGAACGATGGCCATAAGGTATCTGTACAGTAGATTGATTGCTATTAGTTAGAAACGAATGCGAATTGTATCGGTGCCAGTTTTTGGAAAATGGCAGGTTTCGTTTGGAGAGGAGTCGTCGGCTGTTTCATTTTATAAAAAGTGACGAACGTGCACGGTATTTATTCCAACACGGGTGTAATCGGTGCATCGGACGACAAGGCATCCCCACCGGCCGATTGTTCGCTCGTCGTCAAGGGCCACGACAGCTGCGACGGTGTCGTAAATGCCACCGAAGAGGCTTGGCGGAAAGAATCGCGGACACTAGCGTCTGTGAAAAACGATCTTCGTCGCGACGATCGAGTACCATCACTCGATGTTGCCAGATATCCTTCCAGTCGTTCCACTCCAGTGGCCAATTCCGGTGCCAGTGCCGACCCAATCAATAATTGGAGTGGATGCCAAATTAGCAGAGGTAGTGTGTACAAGCCGGCATGAGGGTCGTGTTCGTACAATGCGGAAATCATGGGAATGCCCACAGCCACACTTTTTTGCGTGCATCCGTACAATCCCATGACCCGCAATCGTGGTTCGTTGCGAAAGAGTAGTTTCAAACTAAACCACGCCAAGAGCATGCTGACTACCAGTGCCGTGCCTTGAAAGAGTGCCATGAGGAGGACATCCCAAATACTCGCCTTGATGGGTTTGGAAAATGTCTTGCAAAAGACCGTGTAGACAATAAAGATGAGGGCCCATTCTTGGAATCCTTTGAAATGTGGTTTGTTCCGCGTCACAAACTCCAGTACGGTACTCGAGTAGGTTTGTAGTAATTGTCCCACCAGCAACGGTACCACCACCCGTAATACCAATTTCAAAAAGACTTCTGGAAACGAGACATCAGATTGGACGCCAATATATGCCAGTAGCAATGCGGGTGTGACAATGACACCCAACAGACTCCCCACAGCTGCCAGTAGTACTGCCGCTGCTTCATCTCCCTTGGCCGATTTGGTGAGAACAATGACCATGGTGACGGTAATGGGCATGCAGGCACAGACCATCATGCCATCCAGCAAACCTTGATTGGACAAGAGATCCAAATAACGAATCCCTCGTGTCATGCCAAAGACGAGCAAGGACACAATACAAAAGTTGAAGGTCAACACGTACACGTTGAACCATAGCCGTGTCGCTGCTCGAGCGAATTCTTTGGATTGCAGGGACAATCCCGCCATGCAAAAGATGAAAATGACAGCCAACCAAGTGGCCGTAATCTGAGGACACAGATAGATGGCACCCAATGGTGGATACAGTTTGGCCAAACAAATGGCCAAGCCTGCCTTGATGACAAACGAATTGGTGCGCAAAAAGTCGACAATCCCATCGCAAATCGTTTGTTCCAGCGATCTTGGAACCTCTGTCGATTCCTCAATTGATCGTAACGGAGTCGTCTCGTCGGCAGCTGACATTGTGTTGATGAATGAATTGGAGAGTATGATACAGAGGGAACAGTAGTCTACAAGGGACCTTACTTGAGATGGATCAATGCTGACCTGTGCGGTACAAGATTTAAAGATACCACACCGATCCAAGTTGTCTTTCTTGACACTGATCCGTTGAAAATGGAGCCATAAGCCAGCTGTGATGGAATTGTTGGTGACTCCCACCACATTACACCGCCTCCAACCAATCCGGACTGTATCAACCTATCTATCTGCATGCATGAGAGGAAAGGAAAGGCACACAATGACATCAACCCAGAAAGAGGGCTTCATTGCCCCTTGATGCACATGGTAAGATGGTAGAGATGACATGCCCAAAGGTGAAGGTGCGATCCATTGCACATTGCACCCGAGCTGTTTTCAGAGAGCGATAGAGTCCTTGGGCTGGTTACTAGCTAGCTAGTTCTCAGCCAAATAGATACTGACTAGCTAGGCAGACTAGTAAATACGTAAATACTGCTAGTGCGTCTAGTGTGAATGCTCAGAGTTATCAGTCAGCTGCTTCTGTGTCTGGAAAGGCTCAGAACTCAGAAGCAAGCATTGACTAAAAGCAACAGCAACCTCCTTAATCTCCTTTGCTGGCTGCCTGGAGCATTAATTTTTACGACCGGTACGAAAGAAGCAAAATCCACAAAGGCAAATACATGTAGAGAGCTTTTGGAATCCATCCATTATTTACCCTGCCTCTGACTACTGTACTAGACTACTAGTACGTCACCCATCATGATAGTGGCTGGTTTCTGTACCGTAGCCAGTAACCAGCCCATCCGTGTGTTTTCCAGCTAAACGACGAACTCATCTACTGGACTAGATAAATCGAGGTGTCATTGCTTTGCTTCGTTTAGGTTCGTCAAGTAAGTTTTCAGGTAGATAATAAGCGTGGTTTCAAGTTCTATCTTGCCTACCGATGTAGTCCTGAAACAAAGAACTCCATTTATTTGTGGCCATCATGATAATCATGATCACATCCGGCTAGTATCCAGCTAGCTAGGCACTCTAGCTAGCTAGGTGGGTCTAGCTAGGTAGTCTAGCTAGCTTGAGCTTGCTAATCAAGCTAGGTTGAATGCCCCTGCAGATTGAAACATTGAAAAAGGCCGAACGGGGTGGAGAATCACACTTGACGTTAATTCAGTGCCTTAAATCTGCAGTATTACAAAGTTGACGGGCTTGTAATAATGACCAGTCTTGGACAGTTCAAGCGTCCAAGACTTTAAAGCCACTTGCGAACCTAAAGTGCACTTTCTACACTATTTCACCATCGAAACTGACTGGTACTGCTAACAGCTGATGTAAGAGATGAAGAGAGAATGAGAAACTTCCACACATTCCAAAGTGAAGTCATTTTGGACAATGCTCTTATAATCATAGTTGCCTCTGATTGAGAATCAGTGACATTTTGCTTTGAGGAGCTTTAATAAGATCTTGTTTCTTCTGATCAGTCACTCGGAAGCAGTTGTACATGTAGTATCACTGGGTCATGTCGTGCTGACTCAGCCACAATTTCAATGGCCGCGGCGACTGAGGTGCTGAGGTGGCATTCCAAGCAGTTTCCAGTGCCGCTATCAAGACCTACGGTATGTCAGACCTTTCTTCTCGGATCTTGGACTCTTTGTGGTAGCATGAGTACGACCATGCCATAGCAATCTTGTGATGGCACCGATGGCTCGTAGTTTCGCCTTGACTCATGGTCACCGAGTAGTCTGGCTGAGCTTGGTCAAGACAGGAGAGCTCACAATTTCATTTTCAAACCATCGATCTACCGCCCACCTTCACCTACGCTCCTACGCTACCGGTCCATCATTTCTTGGGTTTCGCTTACTTGAACATCACAATTTGTCCGGTAAAAAGCCACCGTCAAACACAGCACTCTCACCTATTGACTTGCATTGAATCGTTTGAACGCAACTTCAGTCCTCATAAAACGCATCATAAATCACACAACAGAGTAAGAAAGCCATGATGATGAAAGACTCTAGCAGCAAGAGCCTCCTCTCCAAGGCCGACCAGAGCCAATGCAGCAGCAAGGCAACGATTGCTACCGCCAGCATGTCCGAATTCGACGACATGAGTGACAATGATACCCTCGGCGATGATCTCGATGATCTGGACAAGGAACTGCTCAACTTTCGTTCCGGCAGAGCGACCGTCAACAAGCGAGATTCCGTACGACCGGGATCCCTGAGTCCAGCACTACTACGACGACGACCCCGCAAGATCACCGCTTCCGGCAGTCTGAGTCCCAAAGGACGCCCTCAGGCAGGTCCTGGCTTTTCACGTTCCAACACGGTCATGACTCCCCAAGAAAGACGACGCCGCATGCCGTCGGTCAACACCGACCTGGACGACGATCTACTAGGAGATTCCAGCAAGACAAACGCAGTGGTGGTGGATGAAACGCCCGCCACAAGTCCCGACGAGTGTCTCCAGGAGCTGCTTCAAGGAATCTGTGCCACCACACTCCAGAGCGAGTTCTGGGAAGCCTACTTTACGCCCGTTACGGACGCTCGTTTAAAGGCACATTCGCTCAAGGTCAGTCACGCCATTCGCAAGAATCGATTTCCCACATTGAAGGAACTCCATCACAAGGGCATGTCACTCAATGGGTGCAACAGTCACGGAGAGAGCATGATTCACTTGGCGTGTCGATTGGGACGACAAGAGATTGTCGAATTCATGATTGGAGGACCCGCTCAAGTCTCGCTCCGTGTCCAAGACGACACCGGCCGTACACCCCTGCACGATGTCTGTTGGACCAACAAGCCCAATTTCGATCTCATCAAGGTGATTCTCGAACAGTGTCCCGAACTCTTGTTTGTTCAAGACAAGCGCGGATACACGGCACTTCGGTACATTCCACCCTCGTGTTGGAAGGTATGGTGCGATTGGCTGGTTCAAGAACAAGCATGGATCAAACTCAAAGTCAAGGATTCCGGGTTTGCACACACACGGGATGTACTCGATGATGCCCAACAACGACTGCAAAAATTGTTGCAACGTGCGGAGGAGTTTCAGTAAGCAAACCAAACCGACCAAACCAAGAGATATAGTCAGTAACTAATAGGATACGTTTTGAGGGAAACCATGACACTTCACTGCATGTAGTTACCGGTACTGGAAGGTACCTCGCTAGGTAGCTGTATGCATAGAGGAAAGGGAAGCGCTCCCTACCCGCATCCTCGCTCCACTCCTGGTCAATAGCTTCAGAAAGCTCCCGCGCTGCTGAGTGGCTCTAGCTAGAGCCAGCTATCAGCTTGTTGTAGCGGTAGAGCTATCGGTACGGATGCGAGGTGCTATACTACGAGTACGGCCAGACAGGAGCAAGCATTATTGGGATCCTACTGCCAGGACCTCTGTGGAAACTCGAGTCGTGCTACTTTTCGTCTCCTAAATCCTTTTGATCGTCTCCTATTTAATGGATTTCGTCTCCTAAAAATAGGAGACGAAACGGATCGTCTCCTAAATCTTTTGTCTCCTCTTAAAACGTCTCCTATTTTCAACGGATCGTCTCCTATTCTCAACGGATCGTCTCTTAAGTGTATCATGTAAACTGTATGGTATCGTCTACTAAATCTTTCGGATCGTCTCCTATTTCGAAACGATCGTCTCCTTAATGGAATGTCTCCTACTGAATCGTCTCCTAAATATAGGAGACGATTGCTTTCGTCTCTTAAATCATTTCGATCGTCTCCTATTCCTCGGTGTATCGTCTCCTAAGTATGTTTCCACGAATGACGTTTCCACAGAGGTCCAGTGCACGCGAACACGCGAAGGCAATTTAGTTTTGAAGGTGTCATAAAGTGGTCCCAAAATCAAGCAATAATTAAAGACAGTCTCCGAGAAGCTAGGAAGCTTTCTGAAAACATTTATTGCGCTCTCAGAAAATAATCTTGAAAACAAGGAAAGCTCAAGAAGCAACCAAGAATTCCTAAGCAAGCAGAAATAGCTCTTCACAAGCTCCAAGCTCATCAAACCATCCTCAATAGGACATCAATTGACTATTACAAAACTATTACTCAACATGTCTCGTGGAGGAGAAAAAGATCATGCAGTCGTTACGGAGAACCAATGGTATGACGCCTGGGTCAAACAACACATCGAAGACCTAACGGGAAAAGTGGCCATCGTCACTGGCGCCAACAGTGGAACGGGCTTCTGGGCTGCGAGTGCTCTGGCTGGCAAGGGATGCACCGTTGTGCTGGCATGTCGAAACCCTACAAAGGCCAAAGGAGCAAAAGACGAGATCTTGGAAACCTATCCTCATGCCAAGGTGGATGTGACCATGGTTTTGGACAACATGGATTTGCAGTCCGTTCGTGACTTTGCCAGGCAATTCAACGAAAAGTATGACCGTTTGGATCTTCTGTTAAACAATGCAGGCATCATGGCACAACCATTGATCAAATCCAAAGACGGATATGACATCCAGTTCCAAACCAACCACTTGTCACACTTCCTCTTGACCAAGCTCTTGTGGCCCAAGATTGTTGCTACACCAGGGCAATCGCGGATCGTGCAGCACTCGTCTGCGGCACATTTGTTTGGAAATTTCGATCCCACTCAAATGGAGTATCCTCCCTACAACTGGGGATGGTTTGGATGGATTTTCTTTTTGGTCCGTATTGTCATGCCATTGATGGGTATGTCCCCTGTTCACAACTGGATTCGTTATGGAATGAGCAAGCTGTGCAATCTTCTATTCATGAAAGAGCTCAATAAGAAAATTAAGGAAGAAGGATTGGGCAACAAAGTCATGTCTGTTGCCTGTCATCCTGGTTCATCCAACACAAACTTACGAGTTGTAGCAGGAGATGCTGCACCGAAATTCAATGGTGGACAGCAATCAGCAGCAGATGGTTCCTTGCCTTTGCTCATGGCAGCAGTTGGCAAGGGCATCAAGGGAGGTGACTACACAGGCCCAAAAAACTTCATGAGAGGCCCACCAGTTCTTGCCGACATCCTTGGCTATGGTAACGACTTGACGTTGGCAGCCAAGCTTTGGGACTACTCTGAGAAGTGTATGCAGGACAAGTTTGACCTTTGAGACTGCAAGATGAAATGAAATTGTTTTTGCAACTCACAGAGATGCGTGCCATTACTGGTTTTCCTAGGTTGTTGTAATGTGGACATCTTCTTCTTTTTATTCATCTCTTTGCAGTGTCATTTCAAGTCACATTTTTATTATTTCAATTTAAACTTTTCCCAGAGAATAAGTGACATTGATCTTTCAGCTCCTCTGCCTTGATTGATTCAATCCATTCAATGCAAGATTCTGTCTCAGGATTATCCAGACCCAACAGTGGCTCCCTCGTGGTCCGTGACAAGGCATGCTTTACATTTTCACAGTGCCCTTCAATAGCCACCCATTTCATATGTAAAGGACCAAGACTGCTGTAGCTTTGGCCTGTCCCAGGATGATCCCATCTCACTCAGCCAAGGACAGTGCAACGGCAATAGCTTCTTTATGAACTTTGACAAGCAAGGCACCATAACATAGTCATTCAAATCCTGCGGCACAGACCCAAGAAACAGAAGCCCACGATACCTGTAGCATTGCTTTGCAAATCCTGGTCCACTTCGTGCGTGAGGAAACACCGAAATCGTGTGAGTGCGAGGTCAAAATTTCACAGAGTTGGGGGAACTTCAACCTCCAAGCTTCCGAGTGACGTGTCGGAATGTCGGAATCAAAGCCACAGAACGGAAGAGCCTTATTGGGCTGGAAGATATTCGAAGGGCAACCTCTTTTTTTACCAGAAGCAACGGCGGGCCCAGGTGTTGCCATTCCCACGATCCTCGATGTCGATCCAATGAAAACTATATTGGGCATGCCACAATCCTCCAGTGTGCCACCGGTATGGCTGCTGTCGGTCGCTTGTCTTGTGCTTCCACGAGTTTTGGGTTTGGAGTTGGTCTGTCCCAGATTGAACCTGGACGACAACTCGACGAACTATTATCCGAATGCTCTTTTTCGTCCCGATCGCATCCTGAATGAAACATGGTCCATCCAGGAAAATTTCACAGGTTTCTTGGAGACCTTTCAGACTCGCACGTACGACTATTCGCGTCATTCCTATTTGTACTACAAGGCAGGGATGCACCATTGGAAATCCACTCGGTTTCACCCGTATCTACAAAATGGAAGTTCCATCTATCAGCATGATTGTGGATTTGGACTCAATTTCATCATGACACTCGCAACAATGGCCGAAGAGCAAGTTTTCCACAATCTTACGTTTTATGGAGATACCCTCGTCCCACAACAGGCCAATCTGACCAACCGAATCCTCCAGGCACTCTTGCCTCGGTTCAATGCCACCCTTGGAGGAATTTGCGCTACCAATACATTGGACTTTGTTCCGTCAGATTCATTTGATTTGGTATATGCATCCGGGCTGGAGTAAGTACAGTATGATGGCCATTCTTTATTCCTTCGTCCAGGATTGTCCTCTCACTATCGTGAACTGATTCATCCATGTCACATGCGGTTACACATATCAGCCCACTGTTGGATCCCTTGAATTTCAATCTACCGGTAGAATCCTACAGGGACACGTATGACTACTACTCGGAAATCTGCCGTCTGGACACTTGGAAGGATCAAAAGCTACGAGAGATTGCGCAGCAACGACAAAACGATTGGTTCGGAGCCAAAGTGCACCAGTTGCTGCGCATTGCCAAGCCCGGTGCCCCGATCATCTTGGAGCTAGTGTCCCATCCCTTTTGTGAGAAGCCCTTTACGTTGGGCGGTGTCAGTCAAGACTTTTGGACCCGTCGCGATACCCATGAGAGATACCATTGGGACGTGGACCTAGATTCCATTGATATGGTACGAGATAGAATCTACGGGCAACGCTATCATGTGTTTCTGCGGAAACACAGCAGTACGGCACCAACTCTGGCCCCATCTTTCGATCAGGATGATTTGCCAATCGCGGCAGCCAAGAGAAGGCATTCCTTTGGTGGCTAATAGCGAATGCATCACGACAACACTCTACTTGCACGATCTAGCCAGAGCAACTAGCCGTGGAGTTAAATGCGAGGTTGGCCAAGACGCAAAATTCAATAAAGAAGCACAGTATCCATCTAGCTACATGTGGCTCTATTTACGTAGCGAGGGATAAGGCATCATCATAGTCACCCATCTCATCAAAATATGAGCCCAATATTGTTTTAAGGTGAAATCTAAAAGGATGATTTTCCCCAAGTCATGGCTTTTGCATGCTGGACATGCAGACTCCTTGGACTTTGACAACGCAGCTTCATAACTGTGTGCGCAGCTTCATGGTCTTCATCTTTCCCAAAACAGACCCAACATGCCATACCGGTAGCATGGCTATCCGTGCCGTAGCCCTGAGACGGCAATTGCCAGTCAACCAAGCTTCAGTTCCGTCGATAACCACCAACCGTGCCGGTATTGCCGTACCCCACGCTATGGGGTGCGGATGCTCTACTAGCTACGAGGTACCGTTCCTTACGGTAGCTAGCTAGCCACGCACATAATAATAATAAAAAGCGAGTGCCTGACATCATCAGCCAGAGCACGTGTACAATAATTTCCGAACGATCCCAAGATTAATTGTTCCTCGCAGCGCTGAAGAAGACCGAACACCGACGAGAAAGGACCATGAGGATCCATATGTGAGGATTCGATGACGGTGTGGATTGGACTTGGAAGAAGCAGCAGCCGGTACAATACCTACTGTTCGCCAACGATGACGAGGATTACTGGGCTTACTATTCTTGTTGTGTATTTGCTCTGTTGTGCCAAGGCAGATGCCGCCAAGGCGAATGTACGACGAAAGCTTCACGATGACGACGTTCATGTCACACTGGTTCCTTGCTTTTCAGCCGATACCACTGTGCAAGTGGAGCGGCAAGGAACGACCGCCATGAAAGATCTTCTTGTGGGTGACCGTATCTGGACGGATCAGGGACACTACGAACCCGTCTACGCCTTTGGACACTATTTACCGCATCAAACAGCCGAGTTTCTCACTTTGACGGTAACGGCAGAGACGACTGGTAGTAATGTGACGACATTGGAAGTGACACGTGAACATTTGATCTATCGGCAAGGCACGGCTCATCCCATCTTGGCAGGATCCATTCGGGTCGGAGACAAGCTACAGCCTCATGGAGATACTGTCACTCACATTGGTACCATCCACAAGACTGGGCTCTACGCGCCGCTGGTTCCCAGTGCCTCTTTTTTGGTTCAGCACAATTCCCTCTTGGTATCTTCCTATGCTCGCATGGTACAAGACAGTGATCATGCCCATTTTCAGAACGGAGTTGTCATCATGTCACAACACGATGGCATTCATTTGCTATTGACACCCTTTCGGGCCCTCTGCACTAACTTGTTACGTTGTGACCAATACAGCCCGGATGGGTATCCACCGTATGTGGACACGGGCATGCGCATTTTGACTTGGGCCGACCAACTCCCACTCGTGGCACAAGTGGTTCTCTTGGGCCTGGCACTGCTGATCTTTGGGATTCTGAGAATGCTAGAACTGTACGGCTGGGCGGCCGTGCTGGTGGTGCTCTGGAGGGTGGCTTATCTCAATGGCAGCAGCAACCCCCGTCGTAGTAGTGGCCATCTCTGTAAGATAAAGATGGCCTAACTAGATCTATGGATTGAATCGAAATGCATGTTTGCATGCTGTCGTCGTCTCTCCAAACCCTTTTTGTAAAGAGCTGGGAATGCGGTACCTACCTCGATCCCCAAATGCTCGTCGTGAGCAATCCTTTCCATTTTTGTACGGACATCAAAATGGGGGCCGGCTTCCGGGCGTGTACTATAGCCCCCGTTCAAACACGGGGACCCCTCGTAGTCAAAGGGTCGAGCGTTTTCTCTCCACGACCTGATCTAATAGCTGCCGGCCCACTCTCATCCCGCCGCTGCATTGTTTGGAGGTGCAATCGACGGAGTCGAGTATTTTCCCGGAATCGATGTCGGAGACTTTCGAGAACAAGGACTCGAGTAGTACGATCGATGCGTCAAACTAAGTACCGATTTCATCAACAGGACGCATGCGTTCGAACGAACATATATTCGAAGATATTGAACCCGTAAACTGTGGCCGTTCGTGCACCGGCTGTGTGGAATTAGTGGTCCCAGTGCACGGCTATAGACCGTCAACGATCCAAAGTGCCTCTTGATGCATGTCTATCGCACCATTCGCTCTCTCTTCTGCCCCAGTCTCGCGCACGCGACGCACACGCCGACGAGAGGAACGAGTTGTCGTGCTGGATGGAACAGATTGAAGTCGCCCGTACGGAATGCATCTTGCATCAATAGTACAGAATTACAGCCAGCTGCGACACAAGAGAATCGTACCACTATGGCTACTAGCAGCCAGAGCGTATCCAATGTTCCGGGACATCGCTCGATCCTCGCATTCGCGGACACACTTTAATGCCAGACGAAGATGACCAAAAATATCTAATTCATGGATCCTACTCTTGTTCGCTTTTAAAAGCTTGGCCCTCGGTGACTTCCGTAGATAACCTCCTTCCTCTAAACCCCCTTTGCAATTCAGATGGCCCCAGAAAACGGTTTCAGAAGTTAGATTTCCGTGTCAGTTTTCTGAGCCTGACGACGACTCTGAACTTTCCGAAGAGGCCCCTGCGTCCCGCAGGCTTGTGGCACTGGGGTTGATCTTCTCGTGAACCCTTTTGCTGTACTTCGCCGCGAGGGGGAAAAGGACACCACCTCCCAGAATCACTTGTACAAGGATCAGAAGAGCCAACAAGAAGGACATGACACCAGTAAACACATTTGCATTGAGAAAGCTGGATGGCTTTAGCCACCTCGAAAAGCTCCAGCTTCCAATTTCCCAGGAGACATCGATTCCTTGGTAATTGACATGAAGGGTATAAACAAACAGAGCAACCAGTATGGCCTTGGTAATGCCATTGATGGCAGCTGCAAACCAGCAAAGTTTGGGCCACCACCAACGAGTACCATAGCCAAGACTCTTGAGCAGCAAGGCCAGAAACATAAACTGCTCTGTGGTAACCATCAAGGAGAGTGTTGCCCCAAGCTTGATTGCTAGCTTGAAAGCAAGGGCATTGGTCCCCACCATGAAGCACAGCATGGCCATAACTATGGCAACGAGATGATGAAATATCAAGTCATATTGCATGCCCTGTTTGTACAGCAGCTCTGCCAGATAGAGGAAGATCAACCCAACCCCAATAGAACGGGTTGCTGTGTAAAGATGCGGGTCCACCATATCCAAGGTCTGTTCATTCTCTATAAGAACAACGTAATCTTTCACAAGGAGCGGAAGTGCTACCACACTGTACACCAATTCAAGGAGATAGCAGACCGTGTTGCGCCTGGTTCGTTCACATGTTATGGACTTGATTGCTGGCCACTGTGATGAAATCAGGCCAATGAAAGCAATCACAATAAGGAGGAAGAGTGCAATATTGATTCCAGGATCAGAAATGTGAATCTCATGTACATGGAACATGTCACGGGCACCCCATTCACAAATTTGTTTGCGATGGTTGTGTAGGGGTTTGTAGCCATTTCTTCGCTGGAAAGTGGGAGCATAGATGGCCTCCTCAGTCCAATTGCCTGTGTGCCTGTGACCATTGCCAACAAAGGTATTTGCAAAGGGTTGATCAGCTGGTGTGGCGATTGCAAGTGCATGGTCATACCCCGGAAGAGGAGCCATTCCAAGAACAAAGGCACACATTTCTTCTTCTCCAGCCAGTCCACCATCAATGTGTACTTCTTTGTCTGGCCTGTAGACACAAGTCATAATCAGGGTGTCACCTGGGAGATATTTCCAGCCTTTGAAATTTGGCCACTGGCTATTCTTATCATAGCTGATGGTATCAAATACATCCATGATATGCACCCCATTTCGGACTAATTGCAGCCTCCCATGAAGTCCACTGCTGTGCATATGCAGCTGTGACAGGAACACATGGACTCCTGTGGGGGGTAGGACAGCCTTGGAGGCTTCACCGGAAATTTGGAAATGGACAGCATAGTCCTTTTGCTCTGGATCAGCGGGGATTTGGATTGTGCTCTTGATGCCTCCATGATAAACAAGATTTGCAGGTTTTGTGCGAGATTGCATTGTAGGAGGCTCAGTCCAGACCCTTAGCCCAGTCCTGTCAGCATCAACTGGTGATCCCGCTGCATTATCATAATGAACCCGCAATATGTAGTTTCTGCAATTAGGAAGAAAAGTAGTTTGGTTGGTTAGATTCCTGCATTGTAGCATTGTAATTGAAAAATGTCCATGCTTACCCTGGTTCCAACGGAATGTGTGCTCCTGGTGGGGGCTCAATCAATAATGCCCTGGTAGCAGCAAATGACACATGGCAGTAACTAGGCACTCCCTCTCCACAGTCAAATGCTTGACCTTCTATGAGCAATCCAACATTTTCAGCTTCAGAACATCGGAAAAGCGCCTGATGACTAATGCGATCTGGCTGTTTCCCCATGGTGCCTCTGGTTTGACCATTGCCCCAAACAGTTTCGATGCCCATGGACTTTACTGAAATACCCGGATGCAGTTTGAAAGCAACACAAACAAAAGATGTCACTTTGTGCTGCGGAAGAGAAATGTTAGGTAGCTGAATGTCAACTGCAATTGGCTCCAATGATGTGGTTGAGTTAGGATCAAAGCCACGTGCTTTGACAATGCCCCCCTCGTCTAGCAATACACCGCCACTTTGGGATTGGCTAGAAAAGCTGGTAGCTGATCCATAGAGTAGATCTTCATCGACAATGAGATTGACTGTGGTGGAAGAGTGTTGTCTAGGGCCATGGTAAGCAATCTCATTACCGTCGTCCAGGTAGCCTGAAGCACAAATAATGGTTTGCTTGTATGCCTCAATAGCAATGTCATCAATATCACAAGAATCCAATGGGCGCTCTATCAAGGCATGGATCCTTCCATTCTCATCTACTTCAGCTCGAAGTAGTTCCACATTCTGAAGAAGGTCTTTTCTTGGCTTGACAAAGTCAGTCGAGATGAGGTCTTCTACCACAAAAGAAGGTCCGACAGAGTCATTGTTGTGGATCATTTTGACCAGCATGATGTCAGCTCCTTTCATGGAACCAAACTCAGCAATACCAAGGCCTACCCACTCGGCCCCTTCTGTGCTCTTGAACGCCATCTGGAGGGTCATGGCTTCTCTGTCAACCGTCCACTGGACATCACTGCACCCATTTCCATCCATGAGGGCTGACCTCTCCATGGGGGGGAGGAATGTAGTGGCTTGAGCTGTTCCGAGCAGGAGAAAACAACGTAGCGTTGCGGGAAGCATCGCACAGATCTGTCGGAAGATTGAGTTGTTGACCATTGTTGCTCGAACGTGGGACGAAGAAATGTTTGTTATCGCAGAAACCGATCGAGGTTCTCTTCCGCCCATTTGTGTTGCTTGTTTGGTCTACGTTCACTCGGGTAAAAAGTAGACTACAAGTAGGCAGGGAAACTTGAGAGGACTGGTATGGTAATATAATGTGTACATAAACTGGTTGTGTAGCTTTTTAATTAATAGCGGGACCCCCCGACCGGCTTGAGTGGAAAGTTCGCTGCTCTGTTGCCGATTGCCGAAACTATTGGAACAGTCGTACCGGTACTACCGGTATTCTTTGAAGTGGCAGCCACAGGCCACAGAGATCGAACCACCACCCACCATTCTTTAGTTTTCCACCCTTGCTATTATTCCAGGCAGCATTCCTACTGTACAAGGCTGGCAATACCAGGTAGACTTACAGGGGTAATCTTTCGTGGTGGTGTGTGGGGATTGGATCCAATGGTACCAGCCTCCTCTTGTGGTGATAGCCATGATTGAAGCGGGACTCCACGTGTCGTTGACACTCATCCAGGTAGCCACGAACTCGCTCTCCATGGGCAAAGAGGAACAGCCATACGAGTTGGCGGTGGCTTATCTCATCCAGCCCAGCCACGTGGTTGATTCTTGCTGATTCGATTCTTCTCCTACACAAGGTTACCGTACTGGAACAGCCTAACGTGGTGGTTGTGTTGCATTATTCTGTTGCCAGTTGATCGTATAGTCTTGGATCGATTGATCTAAAATGAAAAAATTCCCCAAGTCTGGTGCCGATCATCTTGGGTAATCCGAATATCCAAAATAACGACTTGCACTCTTGACGAGGGCCTCCTGTTGTGCTACAAGACCAACTGATAGCTTCCTCGAGCTCCAGTTTTCATTGGCATGAACAGTGTACGTGAATCTCTGCTGCAGCAGCTTCTCCTGTTGGAAGAGATAGAGTCAATTGACAAATCGTCTTCCGCAGGAATAAAGAGGTTGTTAGTACAGGAATGGCTCTGCCTAGCAGTCACTTCCATAGCGTAGCCGCGAGTTGCTCGCCATACCGGTATCTTCCAGAAATCGTTAAAAAACGGTGATCCGAATATCCAAAATGAAGCCAGAAGGAGCAGCCAAGCAAGGCCCACAGCCAAGGTTGACAAGGAAAAGTGGTCAGGCAGGTGGTGGGAGTTTGCCCCAGCCATGTGCCTGTGGAACCCATTGCCCATTGGTCACGTCAAAGTGGTTTGCATGTTGGGCCGATTGCTTATTATTCGAAGACGGTACAGTATACTGTAGCTGCTGTATCAGGTCAGGTGAGCCATGATACTGA